TAGGATCTAACACCACTTCTAAACGGCAAAGTAGCAAGTGTCTGAGAAAGAAGAGGGCAGAGAGCTCTCCCAATATATACCAGTAAGATCTGTTCATCCATGTGTGGCAAGCTTCTGACAACAGCAGGGAATGGGAACTAGGGATAAGTTCCCTGCCATCCGCACACTCATATGGCTACTGCGGGCTTCCCACAACCTCTTCAACACCAGCTGATCTTGCTGCTGCTGTTCCTTTTCTGGATCCAAGGTTTCATTCAGGACTGCCAGCATGCAAGGTGAGCCATTCTCCCATCCACCCTCACAGCACTTTTCCTTTCCTCTCCCTCAGCACTTCACAGGATTCACATCTGAAAACATGTACTATCTGTAACATTGAAATAAAATCTACAGAACATGGAGTTGTGTTTTCTTGCATCTTTTTTCCGTTTCTGTCTCTTTACTCCCCTCTCCAACCACTAGAACATCCCTTCCATGCCAATGCTAGTTGAGAGAGAAGGGATTTCTTCTCTACACTGTCACTAGGCCTCCTCTGGCTGCCCTGAAACACTGGAGTTGTGCTCTCAGGAGCATGGGGAGACATCTTCTAGACTGTAAGCCTCTTCTTAGTTTCCCCACAGTGGAGGAGATTTCGGGGTCATCAGCCTATGGGGCTAGTGCATCAATGGTCCCTGAAGTTTATCTGCTAATGTTTTTTTTCAAGTTGAGTGTTTATAACATCCCAAGCGACAAGACTAGCATCACTTCCCTTGGGAGATTACACCACAGTCTACGAGACCTTACCAGAAAGAATCATTCACCAGTAGGAATTTTTCCTTATCTTGTCAGTCTGGATTTTTCTTTTCTTAATTATCACCTTTGTTTATTATACCTCCCTGTACAACCCTAAACAGTTCCTTCCCTTCCTCGGTAGTGGCATACAGAATTGTGCTTTGTGCATTTGAACTCAGGAAAGGATTCTGGAAATGTTGACAACATTATAAAGCAGAGCACAAAACAGAAAAAGGACAACAAGCCATCCTTTGGTGGTTTAGAACAGTGGTCTCCAAACTTTTTGGCTCGCGCACCCCCAGGGTGAAGACCGGAAGACCTGCCGCACACGCGCCGCTGACGGAAGAAGACCGGAAGATCAGCTGCAGGTGCACCACCGACGGAAGAAGACCAGAAGACCAGCTGCAGGCGTGCCGCCGATGGAAGAAGACCAGAAGACATGCTGCAGGCGAGCCACTGGAGGGAAACACCAGCTGGGATGTGCAGAGCTGCTGCTGAAGAAAAAAAATGGCAGAGTGCCGTCCGGCGGCATTCCTGCTGCCGGGCACCCCCTGGGATCATCTCGCGCACCCCAGTTTGGAGACCACTGGGTTAGAAAATTAAGCAGGCAATTAGTTATCTAACAATTGTAATGTAACATGAACTAACTGGAACAGTGCAGTGGAGACACAGGCCTGGTCTACACTAATGAGGTAAGTCAATCTAAGTTACACTAGTTAAGTTATGTAAAATACACAACTTAAGTTGATGTAGCTTATATTGACTTACAGCCGTGTCTACACCACGCTATGTCGATTGGAGACACTCTCCCGTCGACATAGATTCTGCCTCTTGGGGTCGTGGAGTACTGAAGTCCATGGGAGAGTGCTTTCGCATTGACTTATGTCTTCACCAGACCCACTAAACCAATTACCGCTACATCGACTGCAGCAGAGCCGATTTAGCCCTTGGAGTAAAGGCTTCTAAAGCATTCTGAATGCATTTTGCTGAATCAGAATATTGATAGAAGAGACATCCAATCTTGGACCCCATGGTTGTGGATTCGCTAAGTAATATTCTAATACAGCGTTTCTTAAATTGTCACATCTCTGTATGTGCCCTGGTCAGTGAACAGAAGTTATTGTGCATTGGGATAGAAGACTTTCCTGCATGAATGCACTGATCTAGCTTAACTGGAGCCTGTGGGAAGAACAAATAAGAGTATGACAATGGTCCTAGAAAAGGACGCCCAAGCACACACCTGAAAGACAATGGACAAAGTTGTCAGCTTCAATGATCTTACATTCTGTCTCCAACAAGTTGCAAGCCTTGTTCTGCCAAGGCTGGGAACTAACAGATCACAGAGCTGTAACAGTAAAAGTGACTTGGTCTCGAGGTAGGGGACAGGTGACTAAGCAGCAAAGGACTCCTTTCTTAGGGATGGGGGAGAAAAATGGCTTGTGCATTAAGGCAACAGACGGTGCCAGCCAGAACCTAGAGGTCTCAGGCTGGGGGGCTTCTACAGGAAGCTTAGCCCTACCAGGATCCCCATGCGGAAGACAGTTGAACACCTGCTATGCTAGACACGTGTCTAGTCTGTTTTATTCCTAATTGCTTTTGTTCTAAAAAATAATATTTTGCTTTAAGAAGGCTGTCTGGCCACTGGGGACTACTGTCATTGCTCCTGGAGGGAGCAGAACGGCAGGGTGTGAGCCTAAGTCAGGCCTGCTGAGGTAATCATGGTTGATACACAGGGGAAGGCAGCCAGGTCCCAGTCTGTAATTAGGAAAATTGTTTTTTCTATCTCAAGAACAATGACTGCTTGAGTGCTCTGCCTCTCAGGCCTCAAACACAGTTAGCCCAGTAACTGTGATATGGTGCATGAGGATACCTGGACTATTTTTGGTGCTTAACAGCTAAGCAAAAGGCTAATTGTACTCACCTGAACTCAAGACTCTTGCTTTTGGGGTTGACATGGAAGCATTCCTGTCCCCATCACTTTCTTTTTAAGCTAACATTTTTAAAGTGCGATATGTATCGTAGAAGAATCTGATTTATAGGAATGTGTGCTGTCACTTTTCCAATATCTACTGTACTTTGATAGGCTTTCATATCCCCAACTATATAAAAGTTACTGTTCCTGAGGTTCATTTTACTTCAACCCCTTATAAAAATTCCCCAGCATGTCTTCCTTTAGGAATGGTATCTCACAGCTAAATTGAGATCACTAAGGCCTTTGCCAGAATGCCCTTGGATATTCAGAGAGGTCTGGAATGCAAGGAAAGAATACGTCAAACAATGTAGACTGATTGGCAAACGTTGCAGGGCAGCAGAACAACAATGATCTTATCTGGAACAACTCATACATAGTGGTCTCTCACATTTTCCTCAAATCTTTCCATTTAAGTAATCTTCAAAAATGTAAGACTAGAAACATTTCAATACTGTAGAACCTTCTTAGCAGCCAAAATATCTTCCCCCAGAAAAGTCTAATGCTCCCACTGGGGTTTTGTCTCACTAAACTAATTTTTTTTCTTGGTGGATTGACTCATGAGCATCTTACACACCAGGATTCAGGTGCGAATTCATCACAGGTGAAATCCTGACTCTACTGAAAGTCAATGGCAAAACTTCCACTGACTTCAACAGAGCCAGGATTTAATACCATATCTCTGCATGAAACACAAGCAGAGCTTATAATAAAGATAGATAAAACATACCAATGTCCTACAAAAATGCATACACATATAAAACAATAATATTACTAATATTTTGCACTTCTCTAGGGCACATTTTAGCCAATAAGCATGGCTCATGGTTATTACACAGAAATAAAACAGAAAATATAATACTATTGCATACATCAGAATCTATAGAATCTAACTCCACAAGTTTAAGAACAAGCAAGCTTCTGTGGTATATAGCTTTCAACTGAAGAAGATAGAGGGAGGAAATAGGGGAAAGTCCTGTTAAAACAGGAGAACAGTCATAACAAATTTTCAATACTACTCTCCAAATTCACAGCTAAGTTCTGTTCAGCGACAACAATTCACTTTTCATGATCACTATGGTACATTCAAACAGCACTGTTCATGCAATATAGCTTGCTATATATTGGAATTATTTCACCCATCACAGAAGTGAAGATATTTCCCATGTGATGACAACTACTGAATCCACCTAAATTTGCCAAAAGGGATTTAGGAAGGTGAAACGTAATTGCCTGAAAAGAAATAAGGTCAGAATAATCCTATTCTTGGTCCCAAGCACAGACGTTTTACAAAAGAACATAAGAACGGCCATACTGGGTCAGACCAAAGGTCCATCTAGCCCAGTATCCTGTCTTCCGACAGTGGCCAGTGCCAGGTGCCCTAGAGGGAATGAACAGACCAGGTAATCATCAAGTGATCCATCCCCTGTCGCCCATTCCCAGCTTCTGGCAAACAGAAGCTTTAATGATCACTAGAAAAATAGAACCGCCAGCAGCATGGTGGCCCAACATCATTATGCTGCGGACACTGGTTCAGTACCGATTCGGATGGAAGAGCCCCACCTGAGTTGCCAACACCATTTCCTGCAAAAACCTAGGTTTTCTCTGGAGGTGCTCCATTCCAGCACTGACCACACTTGAAGTTGATCAGCTTGTGAGATCTAATGAGGTAGAATAGCTGCAGGCCTTTGCACTAAACATTTAAGATGAAATCATAAACTGCAAACTAATCCAAAGTGACAGGAAAGAAGTTACCCATAAATCCTATTCTGATAATTGAACAGGACAGAACCAACAGTGGTTTCTAATATTTCCAAGTTTAATGTGGCTAACCTTGTCATGTGCACTTACCTTTGTAAGGTGGTAGATAGAGAAAAGGTCTCTGAACAAGTAGATATAACTGAGTGAAAAAGCTGTTGGGCAACCATAAAATTCCAAAAACCTACAATCCTTATCAAGTATGGCCTCACACACCTCAAAGTGGTGCTAAATAAAGAGTGATATAAACATTTTTAAAATCCTATTAACCAGCATTGTTTTTTTAAGCATCTGTGGTTTTTAAACGAGAAATTTAGATACAGATTACTATAACAAGATAGATTAATTTTGCCATGCAAATGCAACTCCCTCTTATGTAATAAAAAGGTGCGTTTGTAGAACAAATATTTTCACTCAACAGGCCAGTGTTTACTAGTACTCTTTTAGAATACAACCATGTCACATTCAAACAGGCTCTTAAAATGGACAAAGGAACTCAACCTACCGCTATAATATCCAGTGTATTGTCACAGACTTTGCGGATCTCAGCATTTTTATCATGCATCAGGTCTATAAGATATGCTGGAGCCTCTGGGAAGAAATGGTTAAGGATGTAATGCTGGTTTTACCACAGGTTTGCATTCTTCCAACTGGCATGAGGAATTGAGCGTCACACTGGGGAATTATCCACAGCATGTGAGAGCTCAGGCTTTTTTTCAAATGGTTCATGTGCTAAATAAAGAGCTGTGCATTCACATACAACTTCTAATGAAAAGGAATATACATTTGTTTTATTAAGAATATATTCTCTAGTTTGTCACGGAAAATGCTGCCATTTGGACATCTTTTTCAGTTTACATTTTGTGCAGTTTCTCTAATTGCTGTGGCATAGTTTAGTATATTTTCAAAAGCTATAAAATGTAAAGACTGATTTGCAAACTATTTATCCTAGGTAAGAACGCTCAATTGATGCATGCTTGTGGTACAGACTTCAGTATTTTTAAAAGGCTGATCTTATGTGGATGAATGAAGTGTTATTCAAATTGCATTTCTTGTGGCTGTGTAGATATAAAAACATCTGTGAGTTTTTGTTAAAAACAAAAGGCTAACAGTGGAGGTATTTTAATCAATTAGATTACAGGATGTATATGAATTTAAGATGAAGGAAATGAAGGGTGAAGTACTGAATTTAAACTAAGCAGCATCCTAAATGCCATGGTTGGGATGTAGGTGAAGGAGGTAGAAAAGAGGAGGGAGAAAGGGTGATAAAGACTGGCTGTTGTTATGACATGGAGCATATTAATAAGCTGACAATGAACTGTTTATGAAGCTGGGCATTAGTGGGCGGAGGGACAGTTCAGTGGTTTGAGCACTGGCCTGCTAAACCCAGGGTTGTGAGTTCAATCCTTGAGGGGGCCATTTAGGGACTTGGGGCAAAAAACTGGCTATCCCAAAATACATGGTGCTACAATGTTTCTACAGGATTTCCAATTGAATGGTTTATCATATGAAAAAACAATAACTGTTGATTTTTTTACACACACACACACACACACACACACACACACACACACACCCCTCAAATTCAAAAAATGATTCTGTTCTCTCTCAGCATGAGCTGACAGCTTTCTGGGGGAAAAGTAAAGATAAATATTTGGCAGACTTGGTCCAACGTTACCAAGCATGCAATCACTTCAGTGAGTCCCAGGACACCTCAAACTCTCCAGGCTGACTAAGCTAAGGGAATGTAACCTGGGTGAGTTAAGTAAGAGAAATTTGTGCTTAGGGGAAAGCAGCTTTTGCAATAATGAAGTAAAGGATGATAATGGCCTGAGGGAATATTGTCCAAGTTTAAGAATTGGTATCCTGCAACTTTCTAGAACAAAAACCAAAAACTTTGATATGACAGAAAGGGGATTCTCCACTTATTTCTGGCCGTTCCAGAACTATCAGATTTTAAAGCTGTAATATTATACCTAGAAAAGATACTGTAGGTCATTTCAGAGGTACTATCATCAAATTTATATAACACTTAGTGTATGCTAGGTGCTTTATAAATATAATACAGAAAAGATTTTTGACATGAAGACCTGACTCCCAGGTTTGAATCAGGTCCCAGTTTAAAACAAAACAAGAGAAAAAAAGAGCGAGAGGTGGTGATGACTGGAGAACAGGAGTCTAATTAAGGTCATGCAAAGTTGAAGAAAGTCAGTGAAAAGGCAAAAGGTAGCAGAGGCAATGGGGCCATCAGCACAGAAAAAGAGGAGAGCCAGGAACTGAAATCAAAGAGGAGACATGATGGGAAGGAGACAGGAGAGTGATACATGACAACAGCACTGAGGATAAGAAGGTGAACGTTGGAGGACACATGCTTCTAAGGGGGGAAAATGGAGATGGGGAGAAGGGGAAGAAGAGATTGGAAGCAGCAGGCATATGAAAGAACAAACATTTTTCTTCTCCATCTGAACCCTCTAGAGGTGAAATCATGGTAACTAAGGCTACGTCTTCACTACCCGCCGGATCGGTGGGTAGTGATCAATCTATCGGGGATTGATTTATCATGTCTTGTCTAGATGAGATAAATCAATCCCCGAATCGACATCTGTGCTCCACCTCGGCAGGAGGAGTAAGCAGAGTCGACAGGGGAGCCGCCGTGGTCGACTCGCAGCCATGAGGACAGCCAGGTAAGTCGAACTAAGAAACTTCGACTTCAGCTATGTGAATAGCATAGCTGAAGTTGAGTATCTTCATTCGAACCCCGCTCCCAGTGTAGCCCAGGCCTAAGGCACCTGCCTTTACAGGTGGAAAGATACGAGAATTTTTCCCATTAAAATATTTCAAACATTTATTAAATAGTTTTCCTGTACAGTGTGTGACATATACATAATACAGTGGTGTGGCACAATAAACTTTATCAACACTCTTTTGGAATGGCCTATGTAAGGCATGCCAATAAAACCTTTATACTGCACAACACCATCTTATGGTACTTGTATACCTGTCTTATGTCTATAGTGTTCAGCCACTGTTTCAAGTTCAATTAATTCTAATTACTATGATTTTCTAAGCCACCATTATTCTGTAAAGCTTGACACGTAACAAATTCTAATTATAGTAAGTTAAGTACTATAATTCTAATCGTCTGGCCTTTATAAGAGGATACGGGTCTCCTTGATGATGACGTCTCTGGTGGCTTGGTGGAAGACCATTTGGTAAAAGACATAGATGATTTGGCAGACAAACTCATCATCTTCCTGCTGAGCTGCAAAAAGAAAAAAGTATTTCCTCAAGTCCCCAAGACAGAGCACTTTGCTATTGTATATTAATGTCTCAAGAGTTGTGTTGGGCTCTCAGGAGAGCCAAGGACACTGGGATGCATTTTTCTGGTGTCTTATATCTACCAGACTATCCCTGCCAGTGTGCACAGAACTTTTAGGGCCTGATCCAACTTCTATCAGAGTCAACAGAAAGATTCCCATTGACTTCAGCGAGAATTAGATTAGGACATCAGAAGTGCAGAAAAAGTGAGTTCACTAGACCATGCTCATTGCCATTTTGCTAGTAATGGAAAGACATTGTGCTTTCATTGGAGACTACCTACTGCTATCCTGCAGGCTAAAAAAATGAATGGTGCCACCTGAGTCCGTTAGAAACTACAGATGAAAATCAGGCCTGAAAATCAGAAATTCAGTAATATACCATTTAGAAGTTCAATGAGTGCTGGAATAATTCCAGATTTGGCCAGCATAGCAGCACAGGAGTCATCCATAGATACAGTTCCAATCATGATCACCACTTCCAAGACAAGGTCATCTTCTGCAGAACCTGGCAAATAAAACAGCAGAGAGCTGGGTATTTAAGAAAACTCTTTGCTGAATCCTTGAACGTTCTTATTCTTACTTATACACAGTTCTTCTAATTTTCCAACAAGCTAACATTATGCTAATTAATACACCCAAAAGATACTACAGTAGCAAAACACAATACTGCAATAAGAATAGAATATGATAGCAAAAGATACTACAATCGGAAAACAGAATATCATGGAAGACTAAACCACTGATAATACAGACCTGGTTTTAGTTTATCCTTGAGGTATGGAACCAGTTTGTACTCTTTCAGGACAAGCTCCCAGTCCAGGTCAGGTAAGGTCAGATTAGCCAGTGTTCCCAGGCATTCTATCACAAATTCTTCCTCTTCATCATTAGAGATCTGAGCTGCTAAGTCACCAACATAATCCTAAAAAAAATATATAGGCAGGTAATTAGTAAAAGTACCGCACATGAACAAAGGATTTTGAAAGGTTCCTAACTCAGTCAAAGCAAAACTAATTTTCACCAGAACATTCAAAAGGCACATCTCCTAAGTGCGGACTATTTTCAAGCCAAATTTAATTCAACACCTTAGTTGCAGACCTGTTTTTTAAAAATGACAATTTCCCCATTTCTCATTCTCTGAATCTTTTTGTTCAAACTTTTCAAGAACATTTACTGTAGGTAGAGAAAAACACCCACACATGGAAAATTTCAGCCCCCAAAAGGTAAAAGTTTTAGAAAGCTACCAGACTGAAGAAAGGGGGTTAGAATAGAAAATGTTATGGAATCTTAACCATAGAAGTGGTTTCTGCTCCCAAAAAGCCTCCTGAAATGTATGTGAAGTTACCTTATGTGGTTTACATGTATGGATTTTACGAACTAGCAGTGCACGGCAGTTAAAAGATTTGATTTCATGCAGTAACAACTTTATTAAGAGATTTGCCAATTAGAATTTTAACTCCTTATTTAACCCAAATATTTTTTTATTCTAAAATACAAATTCTTTTCCATATTTCATTTCCGTGAGTGTGTGTAATTAATGCTCGTGAGACTGCTGGACAGGTAGCTCAGCCTTAGAGAATTAAGTCGCTCAAGAGTTATTAAAAGTAGCAAGAGGTTTAGAAAAAAGAAAAGGTGTACTTGTGTCACCTTAGAGACTAACTAATTTATTTGAGCATAAGCTTTCGTGAGTTACAGCTGACTTCATCGGATGCATGTAGCTCACGAAAGCTTATGCTCAAATAAATTTGTTAGTCTCTAAGGTGCCACAAATACTCCTTTTCTTTTTGCAAATACAGACTAATACGGGTGCTACTCTGAAACCTGTCAAGAGGTTTAGAGTAGCACTTATTACTCCTGTTCTTTTTTTTTTTTAAGTAGCAAGAGATTCTTCACATTGCTCCTGAATCTTTAATTGAAGGAACCAGTTGTAACAGGCAAAGGATACTTCATTCTGTCCTAGATTTCTCTCTTGAGAACAAAGTTCAAGATTAGTGCTAACTGTGGCAACGGTTTCTGAGATGTGTATATTTCCATGTTTTTGTACCAGTGACCTAGACGTAAAAAGGTTTACATTGTAACCAACCACTAATTCCTTGAGGCATCCAGAACCCCTTTAAAATACCAATGAAACCAGCTTCATAAAAACATGGAAATGCCAAATACATGAAACTCAAGAATATAAAATCGTTTGTAAAGATAAAAGCCAACCCATCCTTCAAGATGCAGCAGCAGTCTAAAGCCAAAATCCTTTCCAATGCAAAGGGATAGAGGGTACTGAGAACGTATAGCAAGTGCTTACAATAAACAGGTTTTTTGTTGGCTCATCATGTTGTGAAATGTTCCTGATCATCTTCATCAACAATGGATCCTTGAACTTCAGAGCTCTCTTCATTAACAGCTTCAATCCGTTTCCTGAAAAGAAAATGATACATGGCAAATCTCCCAGATCATATTAAAGCTAGAATCAGGGCTTTTGCTTAAAAAAAAAGAAACAATTAGAATTTTTTTCTTATTAACGAGTATTAAAGGACAAAGGCAAATAAATCAGACAAAGCAGAAACTATTTTGTTCTTTCAGGCCATAATTAGAGGGACAAATTTCACCTGAATAAACTCCAAGACAAAATATAAGGCAAATATATAATAGCCAATATCTCAATTATTGAATATTAGGACTCATCACTATAAGAGAAAACTGAACTAAATAGTTCAGTTATCAACTATAACTCTAATAAAAGCAACCCACCTGCTAAGCCTCTACTCCCACCACCACTATGACTACCCCAATTCTATACAGCCATCCCAAACTCCTGCTCTTAATTTTCAAGTCAAGTTCTCAAACAATGCCTATCCATCTTAATATTGGTAACTTGAGGAGATACAAGTCTGGACAGGTTTCTTGCAAAGGAATTTCAAATAGAGGTACTCATATATAACAGCAACTTTGCCCAGGGGAGCTGGCAAAGGCTATAAACCAAAGCACTCTTTTAGTACATGTCTAGGGAGCAAACAAGCCCTCACCGCACTTTGGACACTACAGGAACAACAGTACATTCACCAGACTCAACTATTTGATATTGTGGGCCAAATCATGGTCTTACTGATGTGACTCTTCAGGACAACCTTGCCTGTCTGATATTAACAGTTACATTTTTATACGAGTTTCTGTGACAGAGCACCAACAAAGGAAGCAGCCCTCATGCTAGTCAATATATAAATAGCCCTACTGAAAATATAGCAAAGGGTTAGGTCTGATACGCTGAGCAAATCAGCAACGAAAGATTATGCAGCAGCAGAAATCCTGTTTTCATAGAAAACATCCCCAGTCAGAAAGAGAAAATGTGATGCATACACAAAGTTGCATCTAAGTTGGTGAAAAATTGTAAGTTTTTCATAGCTATAACTCTGAAAGGAAATTCTGTAAAAATGGCATTATTGTACTGCTTTTATTGATTCGAGACCAAATAAGCTCAGTTTGCAAATAAAAAAAGGTTGTTCTCTAACTGTGAGCCCTGCCAACTCAGTCTGGGTTCTGAGTGTCAAACTGGGTTCTTTCCTTCTCATGTATCCTCATCAGTAAAAAACATCCTGCACACTAAATTATTCCCTCAGTGACACTTGTGCAAGTCCACTGTCTTCTGTGTAGTTTGCACATGTATAACTGATTGGAATTTAGTAAAAATAGAGTTGTTGATGCACAAAAAGGAATAGAATCCAGCTCACTCTGTTTTAGAGGTGTTGGCTTTCAAGTGATAATAGGACTAAAAAGCAATTAACATTGTTTTGTTCAACTACAAGTGACAGAGCTTGAGGCAGAAATCGCTGGGTAAATTCTATGGTCTGTTGTATGCAGGGACCGGAATAAATAATTGTTCCTTCTGACCTTAGAATCTATGAAGCAGTTGCCACTGAAGCTAGTGGCTAGGATTCTGAATACATACAGGGAGCAAAATGGTTGATTGAGAATGTGCCAGTTTTATGGTGTCATTTCAGAGAAGAACTGCACTTTAAAGTTGAGAATCAGCACAGGGAGTTCAGAAAAAGAGAGAGCAGCTTTGGAGCAACCGCATGAAAAGTAAGCCTGTTCATACTACGCAGCTTGTAAACACCCGCTTTGAGGGATGTAATCTTAAAATAGATCAAATTGTATCTTTCCATTAAAAAAATAAAAGAGGCCCTGTGTTACTTATTCATGTCTGGAAACAGAACCCCAGTTGCCTGTAGGAAGATTTGGGGGTGAATTCCAGAGTTACATTCAACCCACATAGTAAGGGTCAGGATAAGCATAAAGTTTTCAATATAATAGTCATCAGTGATTTCATGGAACTGTTCACCACAGAATTGGAGATACTATGGCTCAATAGGGGGATGAGTGACATTAGGAGTTGACCCAACTGTGCACATACATAAATGTTTATTACAAATGTGGTTTGAATGTTTTTCTGCTGTCATTAGTTGTATTACTATTACATTTGCCATCAGGGTGCTAGGCACTGACCCAAAGATATGCTGTGAAGCTTCCGCACACTTACCTTCACAGATAAGTTGCACATTTCTCTTGTTAGCAGCAAGATTAATGCAGAAGGAAATGAGCTCCAGGTCAATGCGTTCATCAGGGCACTCAAAGAGCATCTTCATTAACTACCAACACACACAAGTAATTAAACTTTCCAAAGCACGAGAAAAAAAAACAGAGCAATAGTCTCTAGCCAACTATGCTAATCTGAATACTTTTCATATTCAGCATCTCTACATTTGCTGCCAACTTGTCATAGTGATTAATTTGGAAGGACTAGGGTTTGATTATTTGTGGACAGCCAGAGTTACTAACAGTTAAGAATTGCAATCACTTGCCACCTTTTCTAAAATAAACTAGTTTGTTAAATAAAATCCAGTGATAGGGAGATAACGTATTGATTGTGAATGGTTAAATTCCTGTGAACAGTTTAAAATCTTGTGTACTAATGCATTCATCCCATGAAAAACGGGATACTTCCGTTTGCTTAATGGAATAAAGCACTACAAATGGCTGTTTTATTGTATAATAATTCTACTCCTGCTATTTTGAACTGGCTAAGTCTACTCCGCTGCCTATATCTAAACTCACTCTGATTTATCTGCTACATGTCCTTCCCACCATCTGTCTAAGCAAACCTACTACCGCTGCACTCATTGCTACTGCCAAATACTGCAGTACTGAGCCAGTGTCTCCTTTACTACTGCCCCACTCCTTCAGTAGAGGAAAAAGGATACATGGGATAAAATACACATTTCCCACAGTCTGCTCTAACTGCTGTGGTGCATGTTAGTGACTCCGCTGATGAGGCTACAAAGAACCAACAGCTAGCTGCCATTCCATATAATTTGTTCCTATATATTCACTGGTCTATCACGGCTTACATATCAACCCTAATTTTGTCTATTGTAAGTCTGCCTTAATTTTTTACAAACAGCAAATCCAATATATAAATGACATCCAAACATCAGTCTATTTCTCAGTCTTCACTTTTCACAGATTTGGTAGATTTGGTTCAGTTACTGACTCACAAGGTAGACCACCCCTACTGCAGCACCAACCCCAATTCTGCACACTCCCATACAAGCACTGACGAAGCCAGACTACTTAGCTTGCAAGACCTATCAGAATCACAATGCAAGGTAGCATGGGCACAAGGCTGAGTAAAACAAATGCACTTAAAAAGAGGACAGATACAGGGGTAGGGGCAGGGAGAAAGAACTGAACTGTAACTGTCAAAGTAGTTGCACTCTTGCCCCCTAGTGGTAACACCTTGGAATGATTAAGTACAAGATGAGTGGGTATCTACCAAAAAATATATTCAGAGAAAGGATAATTAGGAGGCATCAGCACTGCAGGTAAATCCTCCACAGACAATCTGTTGGAGGGAGTTATCTGGCAATAGATAAATACACTATCAAGTTGTCATTCCAAAGAGGCTGCCAAATTAATACACACAAATTTAGGTCACAATATTGATTAATTTGTGTTCTTGTTCATATATAAGGGCTGTTGATTAACTGCTCTAATAAATTTGTTAGTCTCTAAGGTGCCACAAGTACTTCTCTTCTTTTTGCAGATACAGACTAACACAGCTGTTACTCTGAAACCGATTAATTGCAGTTAACTCACACGATTAACTTAAAAAATTAATCATGATTAATCCAGTTTTAATCGCTGTTAAACAATAGAATATTAAATATTTTTGGATGTTTTTCTATATTGTATTATGTTTTCAAATATATTGATTTCAATTACAACACAGAATGAATATTCATTCTGTGTTGTAATTGAAATCAATATATTTGAAAATGTAGAAAAACATCCAAAAATATTTAATACTCTCTCTCTCTAAAAATAAAGTATCTTTTAGGGCTTTCACAAGGTGATGTAAAAGCTATTGCCGATTTCCTCCTTTTCTTAAGTAAAGGTGAATCAGATTTCCCTGATTTCAAGTACTTCTAAGAAGATCTTTAGTTTATTAAATCTATGGCCCTGATATAAACATGAATTAACCAGCAAAGTCATATAGAAAGTTCAGCAAGTAGGGGATGTGACCTTTCAGAAATTACCCTCCAGAACTCTCATTTTAAAATCCCTTCAAATTATTTATATATATTTTAAAACAAACATATTCTATGCTCACTGAATGCAAAAATCTATGGAAATTAAATGTTGAACGTAGTGGGGTCAGATTGTCATTACTGAGCTACTTCTCTGTAAAAAGAAATAAATATACTCCAATTTCAATTAAACCAGTTCAAATTTTAAAATAATAGTTTTGTATGAACTCCATGTTTCCCATTATGTCTTCATTTAATTTGATTGCTCCTCGTGCCACTTCAAAAGGGAGCATAATTGCTGCCAAATAGGAAATATTAAAATTAAATTTGTTCTGCTTTTACCATGTCCATTGTCATCTTTTACTGATTTAACAGGAAGGCAGTAAAAAGGCTGCAGCATGTGCAATGAAGAGGCAGTAGTGTTCAATCAGACAAGTCCCATATTGAGTATCAGATACCACAGACCCAGGACTGAAATCACTGTGTCTAGACTCTCTGGCACCTGACTTCACTTATTTACCAATGACCAGAGGCCAACCCCCACAGCTCTGTTCACATACACCTCTGTCAAACCCCCTCCTCAACCCCAATTCAAACATCTTTGAATGATTATGCCAGAACTGCATGCCTCAGGAATCTCTTCTGACCAGTTACTCCCTAACTCTGCTGTTTGAAGTGATGCTCTGGTTTCTGAACTTCAGCAGATAATGGCGGACAGGAGCAAAGGGCGCTGTCAAGAGAGGACGTTTACCAGCATTAAACTAAAAAGAAGCTTATAGATCAAAGAGGAGCGAAGCAGGACAACTGTGGTGGAAAACATGTGGGGAACTGAGGAGATCCTTGTACACCGCTCAGTGGTAAAATATTAAATATCACCATAACATCACTGCCTAACCATGCTCTTTGATTGGCCAGGCTATTACCAATATATGCTTTTATCAGCATCTGGATGGCATTTGCACCTATTTAAACAAAACACGCATTGCTAAGGTCTAACAAGAATGAACTGTTAATACTCACTTTTAAGTGGTAATAGAATAATGCCCATTAACTCCTGAAATCCACAAGGATGCTTACCTGGGAGAATGCAGCCCCTTTCAGACAATTTAAAATGTTCAAAGGAAAGACACAGGCAAGCAGACCTAATGGACCTGCAGACTGCAAATGTGACAGAAACAAGTCGCAACTCTTTGTGCAGATAGGATGCACTGGCAGCTCTGCAGAGGTGACACTCACCATGCAATGGGGGCAGGATAGGGCTGTTGTGCCCTATTTTGGTCACATTCACTAGCCTCTCATATCCCGTGTCCCAGTGGGTCAGCAGAGGAGAACCTTCTATGAAGGAGAATTCAACTAACTCATCAGCTAGCTTGTGCTGTGATCTTCTAGAGCTTGACTGGGGTGAAAGGGAGCGCATTTTTTTAGTGAATGGGGGGACTACATGGGAAGGAGAAGTGTATTCCGCCACCCGAGATGTGCACCAATAGCCCACCAGTACACACCCTGATGTGGCCTACTGCTAAAAGAGTATGGTTGGCTCCTTCATTTTATATTAAAACAATCTGAGGGAGGGGGAGGGTGACCAGATGTCCCAATTTTATAGGGACAATCCCAATATTAGGCGCCTGTATAAGAGAAAGCCCCAATTACCCCACAGTCCCACCCCGATTTTTCACACTTTCTATCTAGTCACCCGGAGGGGCCGGGGGGGGAGGGAGGGGCAGCATTTTGAGGGGCAAAGAGGGGAGGGGGGTCACTTTAAAATGTTCATTTCTCCCCTCCTGTCCCAACCTCTCCCCCTTATAATTAGCTCTTCCCACCAGCTGCAGGTGTACAGATGTTCATCACAAAGGACCAACTGGCAAATCACAGCGTGGCTTTGGATGAACAGGGTCTTCAGCCACAGTCTAGTATAGGATTTAATGAGCACGGTAACTGTTCATCATGGTCACAGATAGCCTTAAAGTTTTTCTAGGCTTTATGAGCCAGATATAAAGAACAATGAAATTAATGGGAGTCTATTTACTTCCATGGGTTTTGGAACAAGGGTTACAGGCACAACTTTGAGCAGCCAATACCTATCAGAACAAGCATGTTAGTTAAACATTATTGAAATTTCCATGGTTCTTTATATTTGGCACTAGGGGCTTTTAAACCATGCCCATATTTTCCAAAATCACATCATAACTGAGCCCCATAGTGCAAAACAAAGCCTCTGGTTTTGGTGGGAGACAATTCAAAAGTAGTGGGTTCTCTGTATCATTTGGGCTTCTTAGCATACAACTTCATCCTGTGGCAAACAATCTGCAGGATGTTTACAAGAGTATTGTGCAACATACACTTGCTATTCCCATCAGATCCTCCTTCTTCGCCCCGACTTGGAAGAACATTACAACTTTTGCCATGAAATACTGACAAAAAATGTTCTGAAAACTTTCCATTGCAACTTCCCATCGCGGATATGCTTGATGTTAAAAAGATGTTTGGCAGGAAAGAGAACAGAGTGGTGCAATTCTAAAAAAAGCAACCAGAAAGCTTTTTACACTTATGAGATGGAGACTCTATCCTCAACTCTAACCTTAAATCAGAACCCTGAGAAACTGAATCATACAGTTGTTTAAAAGATCCAGGTCTTTTTCTCTTTAATGAAATTTTGTTTGTTTATTCCCTACAGATAGTGAGAGGCACCAAACAATCCTTAATCCAGAAGGTAAGTAAAAGGTATTTCTTTCCCAACTACACAGTTTTCATGTGTCCTTTATTTAGTGGGACTGTAGTCAGAGCAGAGATAGTCCATGCAGTGATGTAACATTTGCTTGGCTGGTTTCCAGCTCATATTCCGTAACGTTGCAGACAATGATGTTCTGATACTCAAAATGAGATTGGAAAGGAGTATCTTCTGAAACTGCAAAAAGCAAAGCTCTCCAGGACATATACAGTAATTATATAGGGAACCAATTGTCATTTCCCTTTAACATGGCTAATCTTCTATTGGTATTTTCTGGTTGCCTATACCCTTGTCAGTAACCTGATGTTCCTTATTTGCCAGCAGCACTGACAGACAAAGTTGGTCACCTATTCCTTCTGATGAGGGCTGCTTAACGGTAGTATGAATGGTTAAGCTGCCGTATTAATAGAGGCTCATAGTTATTTGACTGGGAAGAAACACTGTTGTTCCCATTATCACCTGAAGGTGTCACTGTGACCTCTGCTACCAGGAAGGCGACAAATGGTATGTTTGTGGTGGAATGCATCTAGAAGGAAAACACATACCTGTGGTATACAGTCTGTGTACGCAAACATCGATTTAAAGCGGTCGTCCATGCTTATGTGATACAGAACACACATTGCTACCTGTCTGTAGTTTTCATTTGCTAGGGAGAATAAAAAACACAACATGAATTTATGTGTTAACTAAAATCCTCAACACTGTAGTTACTGTACATTCCTATTTCTCCACTAGAGTCTAATTCTTTAATTAAGATTACCATGATAACACTTTTTAAATTCTCTGTTGCTTTAACAAGATTCTTTTTTATTAATGTGTGTGTGACACATTAGTATTAGTGAAAGATGCTGGACTGACAGCCCCTCAGGACCAGAGTCTTCTATTTATCCACAGATCATACACAGTATAGGCAGTGGCAGTACCAGCTTCTTGCACAATGTAATTTGGGAATGTATGTTCATCCCTACTATGCAGGGATCCACCTTCTATGATTGAAAGGGGAGTTCAGTCTCAGTGGCCAACCCAAACCTTCTCTCTGCTGAGAATGTCGGCAAAGGAACAAATTAAGGCCAACTAGGCTGTTGATGAGGATGCCAAGCTGAGACAACTAACTTTTTCCAAATACATAATACTATCAGAGAGTTTTCTATCAGCATTGGAAATAAAAGAATGTAACAGATGAACAATTGCAGTAAAACTGGTAATATAAAGGTAAGATATTCTGGTGTTCCAGTGTCATTTAAGCATTTGCAAGGGGCAGGAAGGCAACTGAACACAGGTTAGATAAACAACACAAAAGCTGCATAGAACACATTATAAAGAAAAGAAAATTGAGTGTTTTTGGATTGACAGGTGTGACATTTTGGAGATCACCCAGACCAATGAGGGGTTCTGTCACCGCCAGCCTTGTAGATTTCACTGCCCTAATACTGTCCTACTATGGCTCAGAGCTCTGACACCAGTAGCCAACCTACAAGCATAAATGTTTCACCCTGGCTTGCACAGGCCTAGTTACTCCTTGCAGGATCACCTCAAGATCCCCTTCAGCTCCCGAGTCTGCCCAAGTTCTTAACTAACAGACACTTGGATTGTTCCCATCTGATTCATCACCCCTGAAGGGGTGAAACCAGCTCCCAATCACCAGTTCACTTTGAGGGACACACTCCAGATGGTTTGCACACTAGGGATAGCCTTCATTTCAAATCCCTTCCCTTTTAACAAGGTTTGCAGAGTTTTCTTCCTTTCTTCCAGACTACGTTAATTCATGGTTACACAGTGCAGGAAAAATCCCCTCCTTTCTTAGGGGTTCAAGACGGGGTTTCTTTTCAGTTTCAACGACTTTCCATGTAGCAGTCCATGATTGTTCTTCCCTGGGTTGTAGGACGCTTGGTGCTTGGAATTAGTTTCATGTAAACAACTACCCTGGGAGGTGCCCCTCCCTGCCAGATTGCTTCCCCACACTGCTGTGAGATAATGCTGTTGGTGCACTCGTGTTGCAATTACAATGTTCTACACACATATACATGCATATATTCATAACCACAACCTCTATCCAGATCTCCTAGTGACCATGAAGTTCAGAACACTACAAGCTTTCCTAAAAGACTTTACTTGGCATATCTTTATACACAAACAACATTGTATATAACCCGCTGCTTATTGCTTATTCTTTGGGGTTCAGACCCCCCCTTTCTTCCCTTGGACTCTCTGGACCCTGATTGTCACAAGTGTAATATTGGGATAGGTGGGATTAGTGCATTTATCTGAACATGCCTATGGATTGAATCAGGATATATAGCAGCCACCATTATGAAGTCAGCATTTGCCTGCAATTACCACACAAGGTTATTTGAAATGCCACAATTCCCCCTATATTTAGAACAGGAAATAGAAGTGGTACCTATGCGATAGCTTGGCAACGTGTTGATGTTCTAAGACAACCATCATAGTTAAACTCCTCCCACTAAGTGTCATTATGAGGGACGTAGGTCTCCTCTATCAGATCAGAATGATTAATTTTTAAAAATAACATGAAACCCTGTCAGTGGTTGCTTTAACAAACTCACCATTTGCAAAGAGACATTGTGTTCTTTCCTCTGCTAAGCATAAGGGGAAATTGATCCCTCAGATACCATTGGGAGATAATTTAGCAACAGCTGTCTTACCTTGCAACCTCTGGCCCACTTTAGAAATAGTACTTTTCTATAGTAACTGTGGAAAGAATCATGCCCAACTGATTAATGGTAAGATAACACAATGAATATCCTGCAGTTGCGAAGATTTTTAAGCAAACATGGCAATTTCTTTTCATTTTTTATTTTTCCTCTAGTAGAGGCAATACATATCTCACCAGCCCATTTCCATGGAGTGAAATTGTAAAGCCAACTACAATATGAAAGGTGCAGGGCCAAACTGCTATAGATACAGCTAGAGGCTTTAAAAAGAGTGAGTCATGTCCTCAAGTCTTAGGGGGTCGGAATAAGGAGTTGTTTCCACTGCTCTCAGAACTTCCTTCCCCATGTCAGCTTAGGAGTCGGATGCCTGACTTGTGTCTTGCTGGCCAACACAGGAACCTCCAAGAGAAGCAGAGGTGGATGATCCGCTAAACAATAGTAACAAAATAATGAACTAGACTAAAATTGGGCCAGATTCTCAGCTGATGGAAACTGGCATCACTCCACAGAAGTCACTCAATGGGAACTATACTGGTTACACCAGCCAAGAATCTGGCACAATTATGTTTAACAAACACGACAAAGCTTTTCATTCTTGTAAACAACCTTTACCTCTAGTAATCGAAATTATTAGCTGGAACAAACAGCCAGTTAAATCTTCCCTTTGAATTTCAAGTGCTATTAAGATAGCTGTAGCTTATTTCTAGACCAGTGATTTTCAACTGGGGGTCCGCAGACTATGTCTAAGGGGTTCACGAAAGGTTGTCGGTTCCACAGAACAGTGGTTTTCAACTTGTGGTCCACAGACCAGAGGGTCCGCAGACTATGTCTAAGAATTCCAAAGGGGTCCGCACCTCCATCTGAAATTTTTTAGGCATCCACAAATGAAAATAGGTTGAAAAAAATCACTTTTCTAGACCAGTGGTTCCAAACTTGTTCCGCCGCTTGTGCAGGGAAAGCCCCTGGCGGGCCGGTCGGTTTATCTGCTGTGTCCGCAGGTTTGGCCGATCGCGGCTCCCACTGGTCGCAGTTCGCTGCTCCAGGCCAATGGGAGCTGCTGGAAGCGGTGCGGGCTGAGGGACATACTGACCACCACTTCCAGCAGCTCCCATTGGCCTGGAGCAGCGAACTGCGGCCAGTGGGAGCCGCGATCGGCCAAACCTGTGGACGCAGCAGGTGAACAAACCGGCCCACCCGCCCGGGGCTTTCCCTGCACAAGCGGCGGAACAAGTTTGGGAACCACTTTTCTAGACAGTAGAATATAGAGGTCTTGTAGTCTTTTGGAAACACTAGCGCCGCTTATGCCCAGGTCACTGGACAACTCACTCCCCCCGTTTCCACAGTTATTCACTCCCTTTCCAGACTCCTATTACAGTGACAGTAGAATGTGAAGGCAAAGGGTTTCTTGTGACTCTCAACACAGCTGGATTTATACAAACAAGCATCTGTGGCGCAGAGTTTCATACCATGCCTATAGAGCACCTCAAGCAACATGTTGAATGATATTTCCAACATGTCCAAAAATTCAAAATGGATCCACCTATTCAACTTAAGTAGAAAGCGTCTAAGGTGCTACAGTAATGCCTACTGCACCTGACACAGAAAAGTTCTGAAGACGCACGGAGGTGGCAGCACTACACAAATGCAAGCAGCATGAAATTAACAATGGTTGAAGACAAAGGAGAATTAAAGAGGAACCAATGCAACAAAACAAAGTTTACGGAATCCAGAATTCCAGGCTTATTAAGTATCTAGACATTGGGGGAGGGGGGAAGAAACCAAAAACTAACCACTACCATCTTACATTTTATGGCTACTTTAACCTCTGCACTCACCAGTATTAGGAATTATCTTGGGGTTGGGATGGAAGGTTTCTGGGAGCAGGACTTACTGTCTCTTTAATACTTTAATCCTTTGTATTTTCTTAATGCAAAAACCCTCATACATCATTATTGTTGCATGGTTAAACCTTCACTTTGTCCCTCTTGTGCACATCCATTTCAATACAATCTTTGATAATTACATACAATTTCTCAAATAGTGGAATATAATGGGGTATGATTTTTTTCTACATCCTTATGTACAGTATGTAACCATGTCATTAAAGACTATTATAATACACATGCACAAAGGGCTGGAACTACATGGTGCAACCATAGTGCAACCGTAATGCTGTGTGACCATAATTTTTTGTATTTAATTTACTAGGTTCTCTTTTAAATTTCTTTTATTTGCCTATATTTGTAAAGAAGGGACAGAAAAAAATGAAGGAAAGAATTTCAGTCTCCACAGCTTCAAAGCTCTGCTGGTTTGCCGAAAGTTTCCCAGAGGTCCATCACAAACACTGAGTGCAGCCCAGTAGGAAGAAACAGAACCATTGACCACCTTACCACTGACCGCTATTGGTTCCCAGGCAAAATAGCAGCAGGTTAAGAATCAAAGGGTTGAATGCTGCAGGAAAGAGGCTGAGGAAGAATGTTTTGACTGGAAGAGGTCATCCATCAACACAGCTGGCACAGTTTCAGTACCACACTCTGATCCAATGCTTTATTAAGTGCGCTCTGTGATGCTGGCAAACCAGTTCAGGTTAGGATCAACAGGCCAAGTAACCTGGGTATGAACCTTAAAGGCTTGAGAAGAGGCACTGCAACTGTAATCAGGACAATTCACTTGTGTGTGGGTATCAAAGAGATGTTAAAAGGGATTAATAGATTAGGCTAATTCATTTGTGTTGAAAAGAAAATCAAGGAAGATGCTGTGTTTATGTTTATGTCTATCTATATCTTGTAACTAATTCCCTTTACATTAAATATGTAACTATATTCAATTGTTATTAGATCAAAGGCCTGTATTTAGTGTTTGGTCGTATATTCACAAGATGTGTATATACTGCATGAATCAAAATGAATATTCCCTATATTTTCTTCAACTTATCTATCCCTGTTATAATGAATAACCGGGAACTGCCTTG